ATCCCCTGACTGTAGCCCATTTGCAAGTTGTGCATGGATACCACTGTTTCTCATGAAGCTTACAGCAAACTGCACTTTGAAAGAGACCTGTTTCACATGCAACCCAACAAACACTAGTTGTTGAGTTAGCATGAACAGCTTCTAACACTTATTCTTCAATCTGCATGTTGCATCAGTTGTGGCCAGCTTATGCTGGTATGAACATATGAAAGCTTGTGTAACAAATGATGAGACTTCTTGTTAAATTCACAACGGCTGTTAAACTAGTAATTTTATATATTTTATATCTTGAATTTTTAGATAAGACTCTGACTGATAATGAATTGTGAACCCCAGTTGCAGTAACATTTTTTCCTAGCCTTAGTAGCATAAAAGTCTTTTATACATGGTGCAAGAATTTTACTGATTGTACATGAATGTTGTGTTTATGTAACTGCTTTTTTATTTTTACTGTAGTTTATTATGTTAAATGCAGAAGAATAATTGCTGGACTAGAAATTTAATTAAGAAAGTGTGTGTTCTGTGTTGATAAAAAGGTAAAGGTATACCTACAACATGATGTGGACGCCCATAGGTTTGTGAGATGTCAAAGTTATCACATTCTCTAGACAATCAGCTTGCAGATGTTGGTGAGTTTGCCAGGCATATGTGCCAGCCGGCCTTTACCTCCAGGAATATTCCTGGTACTCTTCTGTCAGAGGCTGAGTCGACCACAGGACCATAGTAGGGCTGAAAGGATTAGGTCAATTGAAAAATCCAGTGACCTCTTCAGGAATCGGACCCATGACCTTCCAGAATGTAGCATAGTGCCTCAACCAACTACATTACCATGTGATCCAGCTGAAGTTTCTCTTAAAATGCTTTTATATCTACAGGTATATTGGGGTCATAAGAAAAAAGGAGAGAGAGAACTTACTAATTTGTGCTGTAATTTTACAGAACAGAGAGACATGAGATGACAGGTTAAAAAAGTCACAGTAATTATTTTCAGGTATTTTGCAGTAATTTGGGTATGGCCATTTTGTTGTTTTTGCTCATTGGACTTTTATGAAAGAAAGTCAGTGACCATTGTTGTCATGTTACACTCCCTACTAAATGCTGCTTTTAATGGAACCAAGAATTTTGATTCTTGGAAAGAAATTCATTTTTTGCACCTGTACAGACTCCTGCACACATCTTGTTAATCTCTGTTGTGCACCATTAAAAGGTGAATTGGATTCATGTTACTAAAAGCAGGATCAAATGGCAGGCCACTTCAAAATAATAACAAACCATTCAGGAATTTCAGAACTAGCTGAGTGACTGTTAGCTTATCAAAGAAAGACCCTGCTTCATGCAATTAAGTAGTAATTTTGCAGATTTGTAGAAGAGAGCAAAATATGAAAGAATGAAGGTTAGTTAAAGACATATGTATTCCAAAACACATCATTGGCAAAAGAACTGTAAACGGTATTATATGAAGGATGACAATGAACATGAATGCAAATTATGTAATTGTAACAAATATTTTTTCTGCGAAGTCTGGAGATCAAATAACCAGACTGAATTAAATAAAACTAATATATGTTGTCACCTCAGTGAGTATATTCGCTTTTGAATTACTCCCATCTCATACAATGACTGATTTTCTAGCCATTATCCATCAGATTGGACTCTTTGTCTCTCTTCGCAGGTGAAAAGCCTGCTCTGTTGGGTCCAAGAGACAGTGATGGTCCCCATATTCAAAAGAGAACTTTTAGAACTTATTTACTCCCTTCTGACTTCACCTTGCATGAAAACCTTGCTGCAATTTCTTTTTTTTTCAAGCACTCTTTCTCTATTAAGGACCTTCATGGTTTCAGAGCATAAAATAGGCACATGGGATCAAATTGGTTAAGTTTGATGTATGTACCAGCATTAGTATTTGCTTTTGGCCAAAAATCACTACCAAAATTGGTGGGTGCGAAGGTTTATTCTCATGATGCAGAATTTATGTTTAGCCTTTGCCAACATAAGTTGTGAGTGCCATTGTGTTACTGTGGTTTATTATTATTTTTATTCATTTTTTCACAAGTACTAATGTTTAGTTACTAATGATAAGTTTGTAAACATCTTGGACAACCTCCACCAGACATGGAGGCTGGCTGTGAATGTATAGGCAGTAAAGTACAGCTAATAAGAAGTAATCCTCCAGCTTGGGGTTTGGTAAGGGGCTAGCAAGTTCTTGTAAAAGAAAGCTTGTTATGGAATGTTACACACAAATTCAGACTTCTGCAAATTAACAAACATTCAGGTTCCATAAAACATGAGGAATTTTTTGATTAGTTGGATGGCCAGTATGTTCTGAAGAATGATTATTCTCCATGGAGTTACTTAGATCATGAGGGAGTATACATGGCTCAATCTTGTATTATGAATAATAGGTACACTGTCTGTAGTGGAGGTAGAAGACATCCCTTCTCTGGCTGGAGGTAGGGCACTATGTGATACTTGGTACCATAACCAAAAATGATACTAATTGTAATATGACCAGCATTTCCTGAATGTGATATACTCTCACCTTCATTGTAAATGTAATTTGCATTTATTAACATGGCCCTTTCATATCCATTTAAAATTCTGCAGAAATTCTCTATTTGTTACATAAATTATATCTATAACAAACACCCACACTGAAATGAGTGTAATCCATGCTTACATAAGGTGGTGGTGAGCTTTTGGTTCTTGCACAGGTGAGCCTTTCTATTTTGACATGGACTTTTTATGAACATTGCACCAGCTACAAACATAATTGTATATGAGATTATGAGTTTGTGATGATGGTACATTAATACAAATATTATTTTTCTGTACATTGTCCATCATCCTTTTTTTTTCCTTTTTGGTCAAAAACACCGTCCTGTTTTTGTTTTGGTCTGGAGATGGGACTAGCTCTTTCAGTTGAGCCTAACTGAGTAGGTCTTACCTTAAGATGGAGACAGAATCCAGTCTCTGAAACGTTTTTAAATAAAGACAGGACAGTGTTTTAGACAAAAACAGGATGATAGATAATGTTCAGGAACAAAGTGTTTGTGTTGTGTCTAAAATTATTGTTGTGATTTAAGAGCAATATGGAGTAAAGCCACTGGGACATAGTTCCTGACACTATTTTGGAATTTTCTGGGATGGACTGATATAACCCATGACAATTGCAGGATATCCTGCAATATGGTCATGCCTTTTTAGCACGCTTGCATGTGTAGTCTCTTAGAGAAAGTAATTTCTTTTGCATATTCATCTCTCACTTCCTTTCCTTCATCTTTTTTGTACCTTTATCCACTTCTCCTCTCGCACATATTGCTTACCCACCTCTTATTTCTCAATCAGTGGTCATTTCATTCTCCCTGCTTTATGCTAAAAGGTGGGCATGCAGTAACATGGTTGAGGCACTATGCTACAAGCCGGAGGGTCACGAGTTCAAGTCCTAATGAGGTCACTGGATTTTTTCAATTGACCTAGTCATTCCAGCCACACTATGGCCCTGGGGTTGTCTCAGCCTCTAAAAGAAATGAGTACCAGGAATTAATTAAATAATTTTCCTGGGGGGCTAAAGTGCAGCTGACGTTTAAGGCTGACAACCTTACCGCCATCTTTGAGCCGATTATCTAGATAATGTGTGACCCTCAACGTCTCACAACCCTATGGGCCTTCATGGCCTGTTACAGGGATAGCTTTACTTTTTTTACTCCTTTATATTAAAATAGTTAGGACAAATGGTGCTCAAACATCCATTACAGGTGAACTATGTGTAATGCATAATGTCAGCCATGCTGTGTTGTCCTGAATATCCATGTTCTTGGGACAGTTAAATGTGGTTAACTGAAAGCTCTTTGATTTTATCAGAATTTATCAAAATTTAATTTCACACAGAGACTTTGCTCAATTTTGCCATCCATCACAGACAGAACGAAACAACAAGTCAAAAAAGTACTCTGGTAAAAACTGTGTGTTCACAGCATGGTATCACGTGGCAGACTGATGCAATAGGCTTTTGGAAGTGTGACCATGGCCTCCCTTCTCATATTCTTTCCCCAGGGCAGTTGCAACAATAATACTTTCTGATACCACCATTTATATAAGTAGACAATAAGAAGTTTATGTAGAATATAGCCATATCATGACATATATGTGTAAACTACGAATATATAGTGATTAACAGGAGTACTACTATAGGAAATATTCAGCCAAGGTCATGCGTTAACAATTTAATAATTAATCATGCAACCAAGAAAACCTGAAGTTAACCCATTAAGGGTCGAAACATGTAGTGTGGTTTAAATTAATAATCGTTGAGTTGACGGTTGAATTTGTAATATTAATATTATTACATGTATTCACGCAACAGAATGCGAACATTAAAAGTAAAAAAAGAAATTGGGTAAGAGTTAAGGGGGTTGAGAAAGCCTCTTATGGTAGAAGGTCTCCGTTCCAAAATTCAGGCAGTGATACGTGGTTGACATCTGTATGAAAACACAGCATATAAACCAATCTTACAAAATATTACATGTTTCAAACAAAATGAATCATCTGAATAAGCAGCTAATAGAATGCATTAATATGCCTCTCACTGGTGTTATAGAATTTGAACTTTGTCAGTTTGGAAGGGGAATATTACTTGAATTTGTGAATATTAAGGAGAGATTGGTCAGATTTATGTGATGAAGGTCTGAACACCTGAAACATCTGAAATACATTCTGAAGCATAAATAGATACCTGAGACAATATTTCTTTGTAGCATGAAGTCTGCTATTCTGAGTGTGTATTTTAATATTTTGAGGTTGGCTTTATGAATTGCATGTCAAATACTATAGCTGTTTAGTGAATAGTAATGTGACCTATCAGGGTTAAAAAAGTATTGCTATGTTTATTCTTATGGCTCACTCTGATGAGTAATTTTAGTGAAGATAAAGAGCATGTAATATTTAAGCATTGAATTCAGATTTGTATACTGTTACTTACAGATGAATATATCTTGTTTCAGGTATCAAGAAGAAGATAGGGACCTTGAAGCACAGATGCTTGCGAAGGGACTTCGACTCACACCCTTGAGGAAGGAATCAGATGTGTAATTCTGCCTTGAATAAGGTTTTGATTGTCCAGTTGTAAAGTCTGTGCATTTATCTCCAAAATATAATGCTTACATTTTTTTAAAAAATATTATTCAAAGTGGAGGACGTTTCAAGGTTTATTACCACTTACCATAATTATATGAAAGAAAGATCATATGCATTGTGGTAATGATGGTTATCTCTATTGTTTGCATCCTGTTGTGTGTCATGATATGGGACACTGTGGGCGTCAACACAACAAATGCTTACAAATAAAACAACCTAACTGTTTACATTACTTACTTACTTACTCATGTGAGAGACCAAGTTTCACACCAATACAGAACCACAGGCAAAATTATAGTTTTGTGTATTCTAATTTTTATGTTTTTGGACAGCAGACGAGAAGACAAAAGGTTCTGGACTGAATGGTAACAAGCATATTTCAATAACGTGAGACATATTTAATGAGAATGGCCCAAAATATGTATCAGTTATTAAATAAAATCAGTGTAAACAATTAGGTTGTTATATTTTGAAATATTTGTTGTGTTGACAGAGTATCACAAAAAAAGTAATTATGTTTGTTCAAGATTCTAGAAACATAAAAGAATTAATCAGTTTTATTGTAGAGATGGTTAGGGAAGGATTTTGCTGCAAGGAATATGTACTGCATTTGTCGAAAGGATACATTTGTATATGTGGAACCATCTTGGATTATGAACAAATCTATTTTAAAAGAATGGTAAAATGGAATATTGTGTTGTCTGTCATATTATTTTGCTTATATTTTCCAGAGAACTGAACAAAATTATGTATGATCAGATTAATTCAGTGGTTGTAAAAGCAGTGGAATATTTTACTTGACTCTGACAAATTGAGTCAGTGTTATTTTACATGTTCAAAATAGGTTAATGTGAAGGGTGTATTATCCTTACAGTAAACTTTACTTTCATAAAGTAATAATGATGGCTGCTGTCATATGCAATTTTTATAAGTCAACATATCCCTTCATAAGGAACTATATATTACTTTTTAGGTTGTAATTGCTTTACATACAAATACTTTTGTTATGTATCTTACACACCTTACCTTCTTTGTCATGACTTAAATTAAACTAATGTCACCATTTTTACAAGTGCACAGGAATGCAATAAAATGTATTTTTAATGTATTCATAATTCCATAAAGTGTGAGTTGTAGAACACACAAATTCTTATAAAAAATTAGTAGTTCAAAATACAGGGTACTGTGTGTGCATGAATGTATAATGAATGACTTGTAACAGTTTTGTGATACTTGATAATACTGCAATTGAAGGTTTTACACAGTGGTGTTATGAATTATAAGTTGTAAGACTGTTTCCATTATTAGTGCATATAGAAAGTTCTAGTAACATTTTCTGAGACAGGGATCAACTTTCATTAGTTTTGGGTCTTGCAGATGAAACCTGTAGGAGTGATGTGTTTCCCTTTCTTTAGTTTGTGTCTTTCTCGGTATCCAGTGTAAGAGTATTTTGAATTTAGATGTGCAAGATGTGCAGAAGACTTGTGCCTTCATGTAGATGAGTATGAACCTGCTGATAAAAAAAAATAGTCTTAATCTGTCAGATGTGATGAGTAAAAATAAATTATATTTAGAGAAACATAATAATATTGGTAAGATTTTCTATCTTACATCCATAAATTATCGTCTTGGTGGAGGTGACAGCCTGTTATTTAATGTTTATTTTGTTAATTTTTCTCTGCTTACTTATACTCCTTTACGTCATTTGCATTGTGGTGTTCCTGAATTGTGATGTAGTTGTGACATTTTAATGTATGTTGGCAGTGGGAATAATTTGAATAATTCTCATTATTGCTTACTGATATTTGTTTAATGTATCTGATTATTACATTTTATTGACAGTAGTAACATCCCATTAAGATCTTGAACTTTTTATGGTATTTGAAATGGCAACAATTTAAATAACATTTGTATCAGTCAGTAATGTATGTTATGTTTTGTTTGGAATTATAATATCCTGGTGAAGAACTTGAACTAAATATTTACTTTTACAATTGACAAAACAGAGATGTTAATAAATATTGCATTTCCTGTGCACCTCTCTACCAGAAATTATATGTGTCTGTAGGAATTTTTGCACACATTAAGAGATTTTCAGATTAATAACAAATAATGTAATGTCAAGCTAACATTAGTATTTGCTACATAATGTAAGTTTATTTATGGCAATATCAACTGTAAAAATAGATTTTTATGCTCACAAATGACATACATGAATTACTGTACATGTACTAGGAAAGTAGGATAATTAAATAGTAACAGCTGTAGTACGGTCTGATTATTTGTTATGTATTTATGTTGAGAAACGTTCAGATATTATTTTAATGTTTTATTGAATGAGCAGCTTTGTATATTCATAATAATTATTAAATATGCTAGTCCAATTTCTTTTTTTATGCTTTACTTGCTACACATCATTCTGAAATAGAAATACTTTAATTTTTTCATCAGAAAAATCATTACAAAGTGCTATCACATATAGTGCTAAGACATATGATATAAGGACATGTTACAAGTGCAATTATGCCTATTTTATACTTTTTCATTTGTTGTATACTAAATGATATTGTTAATTTTGTTCATAANGTTTGTATTTGTATTTTCAGTTTCAGTAAATGACTGTTTAAAGATGTCACACTTTTTCCAGTGTTATGTGTCAAGCAGTTTTTGTGCTTTGTATCTGGTTGTTAAGCTGATAATGATGATAGTAACTTCATGATTTACTCTTGATACTAAAAACATCATTATATAACCTACAGAGGAAAACACTTAATGTTTAAGGAAGCCTATAACAAGTATCATATAAATTTATTCTGATAACTACTGGCAAATATCACAGTGTTCTCCATAAATAGAATATCTGTTTAGTAGACCACTGCACATACCTATGGGAATCTAGAGACAATATGAGTAATGCATATAGCTTTCTGACCTGGGATCTGAATAATTATATCTTCAAGCTAGTGAAGGAAAGCAACATCCATACAAGTTCATACTTAAAAGTCTGTTTTGACTGGGACAGCATATCAAACATTTTATCAGTGCTGGTGTTCAAGAATGCAACACCCAAATAAATTAAAAAAATTATATAATAGAATAATAAACCTTGTTTAGTAATCAGTCCAGTCTAGAAAACTGAGATTAACGGCCATGGGGATCCATTGCACTGACAACATGATGCCTTCTATCCACAAAATTGGCACTAACTTTGCTGAGAAGCGGTGGTCGCTCAGTCGGTATAGTTCACTTGCGGACTACAGGCCCTGGAGTTTGTTTTATTTTTGTTCAGTAATCTGCATTTTGAGACTTTTACCAGTCTAATATGCTTGCTTACATCACTTTCATGTTCCCAGGGAAACTTAAATGTATTGATATGCAGCCTGACACAGTCTTTCTTATGTTAACTACATGTGTTGATACAATGATCCCTTGTTTAATGTGGGGGTTATATTCTTGAATAATATCATAGATACCAGAACCATGTTGTGGTGCAAGGGCATGGTCTTGTTAGAAATGAAGAGCATCTGAAGCATACATAACATAAATGCTCAATGATCAAAATAAACGGTGTAATGTGTACATATACACAATAAGAAACATTTTTTTATTTGTACTTACTGTACTTATACAGAAACATTCAAAATTATTGTAATGTAATAATAAAGAGAGTACAAACTGTTTGATAAAGGAACTGTACTACTGTTTGTCTGTGGCTGCACCCATTCCCAGGGACATCCACAGCTCTCTCTGGTGTGGGCATGGGTATGCTGTGATCTCAGTTGCATCTCTGTAGTAGATATGCACATGCAGCCCATTCATAATTGAAATTTGACCTTGTGTTGTATGAAGTGTGTCTAAATGTAAATTCTTTATAATGAAGACTGTGTTACCCAAATACGTGTTAAACAAGGGCTTTTATATAACCGGTTGTTCTTGGAAACACTTGCACTTTTTGAGGACCAAGAAAATTCAGCAAATAAATCTATTAATGTAAATAATATGAAAGAAGGGGGATGTCAAATGTGTTAATGTAATAGGTGTTTCTTAAGTATACAGAAATTTTGAACTGAGTATTTTTGCCGTTCCAGAACTGTAAGTGATACACATATAATTGAGATGCACACATTATGCAATATACTTTTTTGTTATGAAATTGATTAGGGGTCCTGAACATTAAACAGTTAATTCTTAAAAGTGCAGTTGTGTACCATTTGAGGGTGGCAGTTATGTATTGAAATATTTACCAATTAAAGAAAAATGTGTGTGCATGTTAGAATATCAGTCTGTTAAGATTAGTTTCTGATACGCTCCATGCAAATATTATGAATGCTAAAAACAACAGTTCTCTTAATTGTGTGCTGGATAGCTCATAGATTACTTAAATTGCAGTATCATGTGTATAGATTATTTAGCACTGAGCAAGGTAAAAGGTATATATGATGAACTACAAAGGATTTGAGGGGGGAGTTGTTTTTAAGCACACTACTCCAGGATTCAACCAACGTGACAGAAAAACAACAAAAACTGTTAAGTGTTCCCTCAGAAGGAATTAAACTGGATGCCACCTGATTGTGAATCACACTCTTCAATGTAGAAATCTGAAGTTGTATAAGATGATTGATCTTTGAAAGAAATTACATTTTTAAACAAGAAACAGTAATATGTTACCTGTGTAAAATAAAGAATTACTTTGTAGTTTTGTTTTGATGATGATAATCAAACCCTGGAGTTACAAAAATGAAAGTCAACATTATTGGAAATCATGAATTGCAAACAAATTTCATGTACATTCTTTTGTTATAAGAGAGGTCTAATGCTTTATGGTGGTATGTTAACTAGCTGACATATTACTTAATGGTGGACATTTTCCTTGGTCTTACTTTGATTTAAAAATGACATTTTGGAAGCTGGCTGTGTTCCACCATTGAGTAGAAGCATGAAAGCTGCCCTGTTGGATCCATTAGGTCAAGCTAATCTCTTTCCCCATAGATATGTGACCATGCATCTGTTTAAAAGCAAGAACTAATTCATGGTAAAGGCATGGACTGTTATCATACCAGCAGCATTCTTGTTAATGTCTTTGTACTCTTTATTAATACACCTTACCATCTTTATTAATTTGGCTAACTCCAAAGAGCAGGTTCATGATTTTGAAATTATTAGTTGCCCATCTAGTTTATAAATTCCATGCCTTATGATAACTAAATGTTCATTACCATGTTCCAAGAACCTATGACTGGTCCCTATTGTGAGCCAAACAAATCCAAGCCCCAAAATCACACCCTTCAGGTTTTCGGATTAAAAGTTTATATGCAGTTCTCTTCTTTCCTATTTGCATTACGTTCCTTGTCCATCTTATTGACCTTGTTTATCATCATTTGGTGAAGTTTGCCATTATGCAGTTCTTTCTGGTCTCTGTTAAATTCAAATTCTCCTGACTCTCAACTGCCAAAATGCCCTCAGTATATTTCCTTCCATTCATGTCAGTTCTACCCCCATACAAAACAAGAAGTAAATTTATAAAAATATACATGTATTAATTTTAATCTGTAGATTTTTAGATAGTAGACAGGAAGAAAGGTAGTGTGAACTAAGTGATAGAAATCATTCCCTGAATGTAATCTTTTAATTTTGCCGTGAATGCAATTTTGGTTTGTTACAACATCAGTAAGTTATGAATCTTGGCCATGCCATAGCTCAAGCAGTTAGTCGCTGGCTTCCCGCCGCAGTGGCCTGGGTTTAATCCCAGGTCTGGTCAAGTGTGATTTGTAGTGGACAAAGTGGCACTGGGGCAAGTTTTCTCTTAGTACTTCGGTTTCCCCAGCCAATCTTCATTCCACCAAATTCTCCGTCATCATAATCGCCTGGGGCAGGTACAATAGGCCAATCAGTGACTGCCATGCTGAGTGGACCCAGCTGGACTCCACCCCCCACTAAGTGAATTAAGAAAAAAAGTTATGAATTTGTATAACATATACTTTTTCCATGTTATACAGCAGCTTTCTCTGTCTTGTTATATTTTAACAGACAAAATTAAATTGATTTGGCGAAGACAACCATACAGTACTTACATAGTTACATTATACTAGTGAATTCAATTAATGTAAGGAGTCCCCCATCTAAGATGTGCTACTCTGTAACCATCTGATTTGTATGTTACAGTTCTTTGAGATACACAGTTTGGTTCATTTGGAGATAATGTTCCTAACAGTTCACAAGGAAACTTACCAATATCATAATGGATCATACATGTATAATATGTAATATTCAAGTGCTTTAATATGTTAATTTCCTTATTTATTTTTTTCCCAATCCCATTTAAATACTAACAGTTTTACAGTCTTGATCTAAGAAACAGTTGGAATGTGTGTGTTTTTCTTTGACACTATAGATTGCAAGTTTAAATGTTTTTGAAAATGAAACATTCCACTGTCATTTTGATTTACATAAGTGCAACACTTCAGGTTGCTTTATGCTGTGCCTTTGTCTTCAGAAAGTGTACTAGTTTAAAATTAATGTAACTAGTATGATAATAGTGCCCATTAGAATATTCTACATACTTACACATTGAAGGTAAATATTTTACACAGGTAACTGACTCCTTGCTGCATTTGTATGAACAATGGCAAATAAATATAAAGGCTCATTTCACATGTGTGTGCAAGAAAAAAGTGTTCCCATCCTGACAGTCTTTTGCTTATGAACTGGACCATTCAAAACATGCTGTATTATGTCACTGTGAATTCTGAATATAACATCTGTGGGATTATACTGCAGTTGCATAATTAATTCTGCATGGCATGAAAGGTATATATGACTACATATTTAAGAAGGCATCTTTAGAATTATTTCCCATCTTATTGTATATTCATTACTATGGGTTGAAATCATGCTGACCAATTAATTTGTAATTTTAATTGTTTATACACTTAGACTGATTAAAATTTCTTTTTCTCTCCACATAATATTTAAGAGTGCTAGTCAAGGATGGCATTCTTTGAGAATGAAAGTATTATTTTTAAATATATTCAAAAGGAGTGTGTATCGAACATTATTATTCCCAGTATCTCCTAGAATTATATTTAACATTATAGTGCAAATTATGAGAAGTACATCTAACTGAATACTTAATTTCAATGAAATATGAAAACAGCAAACGTACATATGTAATTATGTACAGTTTAATAGTTATTTTCTTTTGTAAGTTATGCAGAATAATTCATTCAGTTACTGTACTTATGGCTATTAATGAATAAAATGCTTTTATACTGTTTTTAAAACAGAGTATTCTGTGTGTGTGTTTTGGGATACATATCTACTAAATTACTGTATTGCAGGTTGGAAGAGGAAAGTTGTTTTTGAAGAATACTGGTTATTCTGTCATAAATACATATACATTTACATTTACATTTACATTTATTTTCACTTAATTGATCCAATCACCTCCCCGTAGGGCTGGATATAAAGCATGTCACACATTACAAATTCATGATTACTACACATCATAAGTCCTTGGTCCAATAAAATCAAATATATATAAAAAAATAATCAGGCCTCACACAGACAGCACAAGTTGTCAAGACAACACACCTAGGCCATTGCAAAACCACTGTCAAATTCATACCTTGCCATGCCACACACACTGGCAAGCCATATCATCAATACAGATATATTATAACATATTAAAATTCATAACAAACACAGACGTTGTACATACTGCCACACCTACAACAAGCAAGTCTGAACAACGTATAATACAAGCACACAGACAATTTATTAACTCTTAACATTTGAGCCCCTTGCTTACTCGACAAATTTGTCAATAGAGTAAAATGAGTTACTTTGCAAATAATTTTGTAAAACAAACAAGTTGATTTTTATCATTTTTTAAAACTGAGATATTTGATGGCATTGACACCTGAATAATACACCCCTCTCTGATAGGATGATAAATGTGTTGTAGGTATATGAAGGTGGTCACTCCTTCTGGTACCAATCATATATACAGAGTTATTGGTCTGAAACTTATCCAAATTATTAACAACAAATGTCATGAAGGAGAGCAAATACACACATGGGATTGGCAGTATGTCAAGCTTTTTAAATAAATCTCTACATGTATGAGATGGGCCCACTCCCATTATTATTATTATTATTATTATTATTATTATTATTATTATTATTATTATTTTCTTTTGCATAACAAAGACTTCATGACTGATTTATTTCCCCAATATATTATTCCATATTTCACCAATGAATGATAATATGCATAATATACAGTTTTAATACTATTAATATTTAATATATAAGATAATTTTTGCATTAGAAAACCAACTGTGCTCAACTTATGAAGCAAAAAATATATATGTCCCTTACAAGTCAGATGATTATGCACCTGTAAACCGAGAAATTTTATCATTTCTACTTCTTTCAGCATTTTGTTATAAAACAATGTATATAGAGGGTATCGCGTAGCTGCTGTTGGGGTGAATTTTATCATTTTTGTTTTATCCAAATTTAACACAAATTTATTATTTCGAAACCACGTAAACGTGATTAAAAACAACATCCAATTTTATTTTTAAATTATAGTAGTCTTTAGCTGTGCAAAGAATACTAGTGTCATCTGCAAACATAATAACTTCAGAAATTTTACTTATTTGAAGGGGGAAATAATGTATATACTAAAGGTAAGGATCCCTACACCGATCACTGAGGTACACCACATCCACCAATTTCCCAGTTGAAGTCTTGTTAAAATTGTCCCAGTAGTTTGATATATATATGTTCTTTGCAGGATGCTGGACAAGATGAGATTATTTTTTTATTTTGAAACACCTGAAAATGGATGTAATGGGAGTGCATGAGGTAGATATATTCTACATGCTGCTTTAAGTAATGCTGGATCTGAGTTTCTCATGACAGTCTCATTACTCATCTATTATTTCCATAAAATCCAATACTTTAGGATGTGGAAAAGTCATATTAGATAAATAAGTAGTACAAAGAATAGACATAAATCAATACTTTGTACATATGTTGAGGGTTGATATAGATTTATGTTGAGTACTTGTCTAGTGTCTCTATTATGTATATCAAATACAAAATAATATTGATCCATGTTATTGACCACAAAAGATAGTAGTGAATAAATATACAAAGATGACAGGGTAAGAATTTTTAGAGTAGTGAATATCGTTTTACATGAGTTTCTATTACCAGCACCAGTTATTAGTCTCACCGCCCTCTTTTGCAAACGAAAGACATTGCTGGCGTACGAAGAGTTACCCCAAAAAATAATGCCATATCGAATAATAGAGTGAAAATAGGCATAATAAACCATCTGTATGAAGATTTTTGCCTTAAGAGATATAACAGAGCAATCTGGTGGAAATCAACTGATTTATCAGAGAAAACACTGTTAGACACCTGCTTCATGTGGTTTCTTGCTTGGCTTACTCGTCGGCCTTAAAGAATGAGGCGATATGTTCCTCCTAAACGAAGGTTGATTCATCGAGCAACAAAGCACTATAACCCTGAAGACAGAGATAGCATTCAAGTTTCATTCTGGCCCAATGATCGATTGAGCTACCGAGATTGATTACCGTAGTATTATTCATCCTATAATGATAAGATGGAAGCACAGTATCTGCACTAAGTAGAAATTCTAATCATTATGCTAGAGTTTCATATCTGAAGTGAGTATTATAGTGGAGGAAAGTGTCAAGTGACGTGTTTGTAGATTATTAACAAAGGAAGTAATGATAAAATGACTCCCTGTATGTATTTAGTATGGATTCTTTTTAAATACGTACAATTCATTGAGTGAAATATTGTGATAATGGAAGCAGATTACCAAACAAAGTTGAGTCCGTCACGAACTTTGACAGGTAGGTTGTAAAGCTTTTACAGAAAGGTTAAGTAGTTTTGCTTTCATGACGTACGGGGTATAAAGTGCTAAATGTTTGTGTGTTTTGTTCGAGCTTCATTCTCCACAATTGAAGTCGCGTAACCTTTCAGTGACCGTATACCGTAAATGTGAAACTTCGGCACAGTATTTGTGTTTCTGTTGGCAAATTTAAACTGCATCAGTGGCCTTACGTTGCGATGAAAATTTTTGACGTTCTTCTGTTTTGTTATGCATCTCTGTCATGTCGGAAATGTTTTGTATATATGTGTATGGGTTACTTAATATCTTCTGCTTTCTGCAGCCACCCATAATGATCATGAGGATCCGTATCCCAGTTTGTCCGACTACCATGACTATGAACCTAATTTGGAATTTGATGATACAGAACTTCAACATGCAACGGTCACCAGTGGTAAGGGTGGCATGCTTTGTCTAACCTCGCATTGCTACTCTTAACGTTGTTTCTGATTGTTCAAGTAGAGTTTTGTAAAATGTTTGCTTGTGTTGTATAGTGCATGCAAGATTGTATCAGTTATTTCATGCCAAACCAACTAATTTTGCCAGACGTTTGTAGCAGCTGAATTATTTATTTGAATGAAACTTGGTGTAATCACAGGTTATATGACATAAGTCAAATTACGAATTGTTTTCTCTTATAACTTAGTGGTCTTGAACAAAGATAAGACCATAGTTTGTGTGATGCTGGCTGTTTTCATATCAGTCATGGAAGTATTAAATGATACAAAACATTATATTCTGAGAACTAATGGAGATATGGAATTCACATAAGAAACTACAAAATTGTATATAAGACATATGACGTTGGGTTTGAGGTTTTCAGTGGGGGTGCATGAAGAGATCTTCAAAGTGTCAAAAGTATACATGATCAGATTACTCTGAAAATTATAGAAGTTCCATTTGTCTGACATATGTAAGATTTAAAGGTTTCACGATAGTGACTATGAAGAATGCCGTCTTCTGTGATGTTATGCTATGTAGATATTATGTTAACCAACGTTTTGGAGGAACGTTCTGGCCTGCTACCTGCTGGCCCATCTCCCCAGACCCTTCCCCTCCTCTCCTCTCTGCTGATTTCCCATGTGGCCCTTCTCTCTTCCCTTCCTGTTCTCATATAGCTGGATGTCTTTGACTGGCACCCAGTCTACAGCCATCTGCTCATGCTGGTTCATCCCTTGCAGATTTCTTATAATCTGAAGATGGAAGCGATGCGTTCCTCCAAAAGTCAGCTAACACAATATCTACACGGCACCACATCCCAGAAGACGGAGTTATTCTTATCTGACATATGTTGGGAAAGCACAACAAATTTAAAATTTGAGGAGATGGTAGTCCATGTTTCCTCTATGCACAGTGTAAATTTCAACTTTTGTTCATGATTTATTCTGTCTTACAGTGCATACATTTATTCACCTTACTCTTCTCTCTTGCACTACATGTTTCAGCACAAAAGTGCCATCTTCAGGTGCTTTTTGATGTACGTTGAACTACTTCATTGCATGCCCTGTTGTCTTTATTCTAAAATAACTAAAATATATATTCGTCATATATATTGANTATATGACGAATATATATTTTAGTTATTTTAGAATAAAGACAACAGGGCATGCAATGAAGTAGTTTGACATACATAAAAAAGCACCTGAAGATGGCACTTTTGTGCTGAAACATGTAGTGCAAGAGAGAAGAGTAAGGTGAATAAAAGTATGCACTGTAAGACGGTCAGAATAAATCATGAACATACAGTGCAACAGGACGCTAAAATATAACATTTTCAACTTTTATTCTTACAATCATTTGTTGAGTTATGATTGTTGAGTGAAGGATGAGAATGGTGATCTGCTTGCAGATTCCCACAACAATTTGAATAGATGGAGGAACTACTTCTCTCAGTTATTGAATGTACATAGGGTCAGTGATGTTAGGCAGACAGAAATTGATACAGCTGAGCCATTAATACCTGATCCTAGCCCTTTTGAGGTTGAAAGTGCTATTGCAAAATTGAAACGGTGTAAATCGCCAGGTAGTGATCAAATTCCGGCAGAAGTTATTCAAGCAGGAGGCAAAATATTACGTTCTAAGATCCACAATCTAATTACTTCTATTTGGCATAAGGAAAAATTTCATGATCACTGGAAGGAGTCTATTATTGTACCAGTTCACAAGAAGGGTGATAAAACTGACTGTAGTAATTATCGGGGGATATCACTGCTATCAACTTCATATAAAATTTTTAATAGTTCACAAGAAGGGTGATAAAACTGACTGTAGTAATTATCGGGGGATATCACTGCTATCAACTTCATCTAAAATTTTGTCCAATATTCTTTCAAGGTTAAGTCCATATATAGATGAAATTATTGGGGATCATCAGTGTGGGTTTCGACGTAACAGATCAACTACAGATCAGATCTTTTGCATTCATCAGATATTGGAGAAAAAATGGGAGTATGATGAGACAGTACATCAGCTATTCATAGAATTCAAGAAAGCCTACGATTCACTTAGGAGGGAAGAATTGTACAATATTCTGATAGAGTTTGGGATACTCATGAAACTAGTTAGGTTGATTAAAATGTGTTTAAACAAAACGTATAGTAAAGTTCGTGTAGGTAAACATTTGTCTGATAAATTTCCTATCCAGAATTGTCTAAAACAAGGAGATGCTTTATCGCCACTCCTTTTCAACTTTGCCTTAGAATACGCAATTACGATGGTCCAGGGAAGCCAGGTGGGACTGAAACTAAACGGGACACATCAGCTGTTGGTCTATGCCGATGATGTGAATCTACTGGGTGATAATGTAGATACTATAAAGACAAACACACAAACTTTAATTGACGCAGGTAAAGAGGTTGGTCTAGAAGTAAACACAGAGAAAACTAAGTATATATTACTGTCTCATCACCAAAATGCAGGGCAAAATCATGACATAAAGGTAGGAAACAGATGTTTTGAAAATGTGGCACAGTTCAGATATTTGGGAACAACGATAATAGATCGAAACCTGATTCAGGAGGAAATTAAGAGGCGATTGAACTTGGGTAATGCTTGCTACCTTTCAGTCCAGAACCTTTTGCCTTCTCGTCTGTTGTCCAAAAACATAAAAATTAGAATATACAAAACTATAATTTTGCCTGTGGTTCTGTATGGGTGTGAAACTTGGTCTCTGACATTAAGGGAGGAACGTAGACTGAGGGTGTTTGAGAACAGGGTGTTGAGGAGAATATTTGGACCAAAGAGAGATGAGGTGACAGGAGGTTGGAGAAAACTGCATAATGAGGAGCTTCATTACTTGTACTCTTCTCCAAGTATAATTAGAATCATCAAGTCAAGGAGGATGAGGTGGGCAGGTCATGTAGCATGAATGCGGGAGACGAGGAATGCATATAGGATATTGGTGGGAAAGCCAGAAGGAAAGAGACCACAGGGAAGACCAAGGCATAGGTGGGTGGACAATATTAGAATGGATCTTACTCGTAGAGAGAGATGCTGGGATGGTATGGATTGGATAGATCTGGCTCAGGATAGGGACCAGTAGAGGGCTCTTGTGAACACAGTGATGAACCTTTGGGTTCCATAAAATACTGGGAAATTCTTGAGTAGCTGCAGAATTGGCGGCTCCTCAAGAAGGGCTCAGCTCCATGAGTAAGTAAGTGAGTGAGGATGGTGAAGACTTAATCTGACTGCCTTCAATTTTGTTGTACCACCTACATCATCATCAGAATCTTTGTCGTGACTGGTGACAAAGAAATGTCACTCTGCAGCAATTCCAGAATCCTTTTTTGAATTACTAAATGGGCAACATTAATTCTGTTCTTATAATGTGATGCAGCTCCATCACCAATGTATCTCTCTTTCATATTGCTATTCAGGATCTTGATATACTGCATCACAACCTTCTGAAACACATAAAATGTGCTTGTTACATGTACAGTGTAGTCACTGACTATACAAGGAAATATGCTTTGTTTAAATGTAAATTGAGTTCATGCATATGTATTACAATAGGCTGAAGTGTTAGTCCATCATTAGACCGATGATATGCTTGCACTGCATCCTGGACAATGAAAGAATAATTTTCTAAAAAATTTATCAATACAATACATTCAAGTTCATTAAACTTCCTTTGATCTCCATTACAACACTACCCTCATGTTGAGCTACAAAATTGTGAAGGCAGAAGGTCATCCAGGTCCTATCACCCATTCAGATCATCAATGAATTCTTCACACGGGACAGTAGCAGTCATTAATGTTGAAGGGTCTGCCATCGCTCACTGTCCGTATGTGGTTTCATCTCCAGATTCAATATTATTCAATGTAGAGAGTAACTTATATACTGCATCAGACCCCAGGCAGTCTGCACACTGTATTAAAGTACATGTTTCACTTTCTGTGAGCATACCATTTTTTAAGTCTTTTACATTGAAATCAGGTGTAAGGTGTGCTCTTTGCACCATGAGTGTTACATTGTAATGAGCAACACTGACATGTACTGTATGGGTCTCTCTTTCACCTGCAAAGATGCAGTGTTTGAACACAATTCTCCACATTTTTGATCCAGTTAAAGCAGTTGAGTGTGTCTCATGAAATGCCACATAGAGTTGCTGAAGATTATCTAGTACTAATTGCTTTTGAAGATGTCTTTGGTGAGTGGTTTCTTGAGGTTGGTGTTTCGCAGACATGGAGTCTTTGTTGCCAGGATACAAGTGACTGTACTCATCATTCTCATAAAATTGGTCTAGTGTTTGTATAACAACATCAAGGTCAGACTTTCTTAATTTTATCTTCAAGAAGAATTTCACAGGTTTTCTGTAAATCTGTTCTTATTTTCACAATATTGTAGCATGTAGGCCCCATTACTTGACAACGACCTTGAAACAAAGAATGAAGCACCTGCTAGGCAACAGATTTTTAGTGAGCAAGTATACACAGCCATCAATATGCAAGAACTTCGCAAGTAAACATGTTCACAGGGAAACGATTGGAGTACAACAATAAATGGAGTCTTCTACGTGGTCCATGCCAAGGGGTTATCAGTGGGGCAAGTTTAGTAGTTACCGTAGTTGGAAGGGAGTCTTTAAAGATAAGGCTTAGTTGGTGCAGTTGAGAGCCAGTGGGCAATGAAATGAATATGGAAGCTGAAGAATCTCCACTCTTAGAATCTGTTACCAGGGAACAACTGGTGAACCCACAGCAGAATGAAGATACTTAGTGTGTGCTGTAGTGATTTCTAAAGTGTGGAGATTAATAATGGTGCTGTAATTAAATGTAATCACCAGTCATGTGTTGAAGTGGTCAATAAATACAATCTGCAATCTAAATCCCAGTGATAGTCACTCAAATATGTTACAATATATTGACCACATAACACCCAGAAGGAACCTTGTTT